AGACATTCGCCATAATTGGCGAATGTCGTGTGGACATTCACCATAATTGGCGAATGTCGTAGGGGTACTGGCGAATGTCGTGTGGACATTCGCCAGTCGCCAGTATGGCGAATGTCTATTGGCGAAACGCGACTTTACCTTTTATACAGATTCTTATATTTATTTATCTCTCATTTATTCAGTGCTGATCGACTATTTCTAGTTAATCATTAGTATATGAATTTTGATGATTTCAATAGCGTTGATTCAAATACTAAAGCCACTTGATAATAATTTTACCAAAATAAATTTGAAATACTAACATTAGTATTGTGGTGATTTATCTCACCCTCTAGGCTCGATGCCGATTTCAAATTGGATTTTATTCCAAATTTAATGTATCTCATAAAGAAATTGTTCGAACATATAATCAATGCTTCTGATCTAAATATTCATGTTCTTTTCTCTGATTAGGAGATGCTTGGTTTAGAAAATATTTGTTCAATGCTCCCACAAAATATTAAACATCTTACTATTTCATCTAGATGTTCGGTTAACATGGGATATGTCAGTAAACTCAAACATTTGTAGAGTATTTCTTTCTTATAGTCAGAAAGAATGTATTTACCATCATGTAAATGTAATTGGTATAAAGAAATTATTGGAAGACTCAAAATCAATAAACGATAATTTACATATCGAGAAGAAGTATTTGAATTGCATCTTTGGCTTGGCAAGTTTAAAACCTATGGAAATGATTTGTATTCTATATAGAAACCAATAAAAATACAACTGTCCGTTCTATAAAATATATTTATTGAAAAATATTATTTTTAGATTTGAAAATATAAAATAAAGTTCAATATAATTATCATAAGAAAAACATTTTGATTTGTGACCAGGTTCGAAATGGATGTTTTGCATTCTGATATCTTTAAATCTTCATAATCAGGTATTTTAGTTAGATTTACCATTTGCAAATAACCTGCCTCAATAGTACGCGAAGCTTCATTAAAAAATTTTTGCCATTGAACTAATAATTCTGGTGTCCATTTTAATTCTTTCAACCATATTCCAAGTTTTTCATTGTCAAATGTTGACCTATAAACAAGAATAGTTGAAAGCCGTGAAAGAAATAAAATCTTTTAATTTACTTGGAAATATTCATTATTTTTGTCCATGCTTCTGGAGAATTCGATGACAGACAACTAGGGAAGGTTTTCATACGAGGATAATAGAGAAAATAATGTAGACACATTTCATCCTTTGTTCTTTCACCACCCTAAATATTTTCTATTGATCAAAAAAGAAAATTCATTTTCATTCGACTATTTTTACCAAAGTTATGATACTTTTGTCTGTTGTACTATAAACACATCGAGTCGCCAGTTCATCGCCCTATATGATAAATAAAGTAGAAAAATAAAATAAAGAATAGGACAACAATTGTACTCGATACAATTGAATTGGTTTCGGCAAAAGATTTTCAAATTGATAATTGAAATTATATGCTTCAGCATTAAATAAATATTCAACTGCTTTTCCATTTCGAATTAACTTTGTCCATACACTTCGACCTTATTTACTATGAAAATAGTCACTTGTATCAATTTGAAATTTCGAGTTTACCTTGTAAATGAGTATGTGGATATGCAGCAAGAATTGTTATAACAGATTCAGGAAAGTTCTATAATTATATCAATAAGTTTTTTTTCTCTATAGAAACAAAACTTGTAAACTTACTTGTGTAGCTTCAGATGAACAATAACAATCAAGTAAAAATCGATCTATTCCCGGTGGAATTGCAATAGCCGAATAGCTGACTTCTGCACCGATTGAAAGATAACTAAGTTCATGCTGACGAAGCTCATTTCCAAGATAGAAACGAACACCCGAACTATCACGGCGATCTTAATCAGAGACAATTTTGCCAAATCTCTCAATCTATATTTAATACAATTCTATACTTGGCGTAAGCTTAGGATTATCATAATGCATTTGAAGCATATAATATTTTATTTCGAAATCGCCACCGATTGGATATCCACCAATTTCTGGATATTCCATCATCTATGCAAACAAAACCTGTAGACAAGTTTAAATTCAATTTCGAGAAGTTACTTCATCACCACCAACGGCCCATATACTCGCTACATTCGTAAAACATGGAAATATACTCTGAATAATGTCATCACATATACCATTTGGTAAATTATTGTCGTCGAATACAGCTGTGGGATCACATTCTAACAGTCCGAAATGATGAACAAGATCTCGATTATTTGGTTCAATTATTGTCCTGTGCTAAAAAGAAAAATAAATAATGAAGGAAACGTTGTTACAACTCTTAGAACACAGATGAGATACATACAGCAATTGCATGTCTTCTTTGTAACAAATCAGTTGGAACTTTGAAAATTTTACAATGATAACTACTTTCAAGTGCTGGTACAATTTGCTGAAAGTTAATTTACACAAGAATTAACATCAAAAGATAATTGAATAACTCACATCACTCAATTTGAATTCGACGTAGTCAAGATGTGAAAATTTACTGTCTGGTGGTGGATTACTATAAGATCGGAGAGGAATTATGCGTGAACCTCTTCGATTTTCATGATAATAAATTAAACCACCTGATTGAGACATATCAGGATCAACAAGGCCATACGCAAATATGAGATTATTTGTACCAGACTAAATATAGACTGTCGATTTTATAAAATAATTTTTTCAATAGATAAATAACAAACTTTAATTGCAACATCCATTTCATCACAAGTATCAAGAGAACGTTTGAATTGAATAGCTGTCCAACCATTTTCTTCACGACCTCGAAGTGCAAACCAATCTGTTGTTGTATTATCGATGATTGGTTGCCAAGTACCCATCGCATATCGATCTTGAAAATGAACCTGACCTTGTTGATCAACCCATCCAAGTCCAATATCGGCACCATTCATTCCACCAGCTATAAACGACATATAGGAATAATTAACGACAATGAATAGTGTATTTTGATAAATGATCTACCTGGGCTTATACCCAAAGCAACCCATCCTGTTGTTTTTATATGTAGTTCAAAAGTTATTTCTTGTTCATCTTCATTTATTGTCCACCAAAGATCAGCGACATTTGATTGAAGTTCAGTTGAATACGAATAATTTGTGTACGGTTGAAGGGGACTTGATATTACGTTACTTTCATAAATTGACAGTAATAATATAATTATGTATAGCCGCATTATTGATAATATAGGCGACGGAACTGTTAGGCTCGTTAGAATACCAACAGTAGAACTTTTTTGCGTGATTATATCTATATCGTGATAAAAAAATACATATGACAGAATTGAAAGGCGTTCATTATATCATCATAGTTCTACGTCACATATTTTATATTGTATTGCCTTATATACACTAAATCATGTGTACGATATCTCAGATATGGATTCGCTCACACTTGACACTAAAAACTAAACGATGCGGTTCAAGATAGAACTCGCAGAGATGTCCGTTTTTTGTAAAACTACTAAATTTGAAAGTAAGCGGCACTGTAGGCAAGCGATAGACATACTTAGATAGAATTTATGGAATTTACGAATTTTGGACTTTATAGAATTTACGAACTTTGGAATTTATGAACGTCTGAATTTTGGAATTTATAGAATTTACGAACTTTGGAACTTTGGAATTTATAAACTTCTGAATTTTGGAATTTATGGAATTTACGAACTTTGGAATTTATGAACGTCTGAATTTTGGAATTTATAGAATTTACGAACTTTGGAACTTTGGAATTTATAAACTTCTGAAGTTTGGAACTTTGGAATTTACGAACTTTGGAATTTATAGAATTTACGAACTTTGGAATTTATAAACTTCTGAATTTTGGAATTTATAGAATTTACGAACTTTGGAATTTATAAACTTCTGAATTTTGGAATTTATGGAATTTACGAACTTTGGAATTTATGAACTTCTGAATTTTGAAGTTTATAGAATTTACGAACTTTGAAACTTTGGAATTTATAAACTTCATAAATTCATTTATAGAAGTTCATAAATTCCAAAGTTCTAAAGTTCGTAAATTCCATAAATTTGAAAATTCAGAAGTTCTTAGATTCTCTAAATTCCAAAGTTCTAAAGTTCGTAAATTCCATAAATTTGAAAATTCAGAAGTTCTTAGATTCTCTAAATTCCAAAGTTCTAAAGTTCGTAAATTCCATAAATTCCAAAATTCAGAAGTTCTTAGATTCTCTAAATTCCAAAGTTCTAAAGTTCGTAAATTCTATAAATTCCAAAAATTCCAAAATTCAGAAGTTCGTAAATTCTACAAATTCCAAAGTTCTAAAGTTCATAAATTCGAAAGCTCGTAAATTCCATAAATTCCAAAATTCAAAAGTTGATAAATTCCAAAGTTCTAAAGTTCTTAAATTCTAAATTCGCAAATTCTGTAAATTCCGGAAGTTCCGAAATTCTGAAATAGTGTGGTTGTAAGATTGATACGGAGTAGATTGACTCGTTGGTGCTGCTGCGGAATTCTCAAATTTAGAATTTTCGGTGTAGACGGACATCCCTCAGAACTCGACAGACTATACCCGATGGATACCTTAAAAGCCACTTTAAGTGCTACCGTCTCCCCTAAATTTCCAATATACTCAGAAAAATCTGATTTTTATCGAAAGCTTCCAGCTGAGATCAAAGCTTGCATACCCTATCAAACATCAAAATACTCAGAAAACCCTGGTTTTGAGAATGTGAAAATGGGGGCGAGAGTAAGGGTGAGCATAGCTCCTTTATTTTCAATCTTACTATCATCCACACAATCGTATAGCTAAGATCCCGCTCTCACCTTGAAACTTACGGTCGCACCTTCACTCTCACCCTCACCCACAATAGTCAGTCGCAAATGTTACTCATAAATCTAGATATCTTAGCATAAAAAATATTTCGGAACAAAATGCACACAATTCTTGGACAGAAACAATACGTTTCAAAGATTTCATATTATACAAATCTGAGACGAAATAATCTGCCATTCAAACTGCGCTTTCTATCGTTGTCTATAAGTAATACTTATTCAGTATTATCAATAATTTGTGTACCATTTCTATATACCTTTATTGGCTAACTGAGATTAAGCGATTTGTCTATAAGTATCGTTGATAAGAAGAGAATATTGATTCTTATGATTCTTTTTCTTACTATGAAAAATAATGAAGTGAAGTGTTTTAAAAGAATTTAATTCATTTGATGACAACATACTTCTCCGCACTGATGAAAATCGGCGTAGAACAATAAACCCTTGACGATATTTCTACAATAATAAACTTTTGAATGGTATACTATGGCAGAAATACCATCAAGGGTTTATCAAGGTCTAACGTATGATATATCGATTGTAGGGCTTATGAAAAGAATGAGTCGATGAAAGTTTGTTATCAGTATGTTTTACTTTAAGTTTTTCTTAAGAAAAATAACACGCATGGAGTTGTTTTAAATTAATTTTAAAAAGATAAAAGTCGAATTGATTTAGATCAATGTTTTATATACTTATCTTCTAACATTATCGTTCCTTGCTCAAATCCATCTCTTCGCATTATAAAAATATTGTGTAAACGAGCGCAGTAATGATCCAGAAACTCAGTGAAGAAAACTGATCAGTCAAGTCATTAGAGTACACCGTGCTATAAATTTGAGAATTTTTTTTCTTTCAGCTTTCTAAAAACGCTGTCTTCCGCGGAAGTTGACGCCAACCATGAGATGGTCTTATGGGAAGGAAAATGAAATTTTGTTGTGATGGCATAGATATTCAACATTGAACATTGAGGTTACACCCATTTACGATTTTTTTCAATTTGTAACAGTATGAATACGATGAAAGTAAAATATACTACCAATATTTCGATTATTTGAGTTTAAATTAATGTAATGTTGATAAATAGATGTCCAAGAAATTTAAGTAAAATAAAACTTAACTTAACTCTCCTTGTACTACAGATAGTGCTGAACAGTTATTTAGTACATTAAGTCGACTGAATAGCATTCTTCGGAATTCTACAACACAACTATGAGTTCGCCATTGTTTTTGAAAAGATCCTTTTACAGAAAAAGTTTATAAGATTGAGAAGACGAGCTTTCTATCACTTAGTAGTTTAATTTGGAATAAATAGTTTTTTATTATGAAATTCTTATACTTGGTATGCATTTACAAATTCGTGGAACAAAACTTAGAGATAATCTAGTAGTATTTTTCATAATACCAAAATAAGTTAAATTATCTCAACCGACTTATCGCCGGCACTTATTTTGGTGTATTTCAAGATAATATGTAAATGTTTTGTACGTAAGATATCTTAGGTCAGGGTTCGAGTATTTTCTGTCGTGATTCGTACGTGTGCTAGTTCCAAGTAGATCTTGACGAGCTCTATCGATTCCAATAATCACTTTCCAAAACATTTTGTTTCCACTAGAGAGAAAATTCCGAGTATAGGTCTATTCAAAATGGCAATCGTCCTACAAAGGTCCTTTGGGGATGAGGGTAACATATTGATAAACGTTTCGAATCGGCCTGAAAATAAGTGGAATCGATAGAGATCAACGAGTTAACACTTGGAACCAGCACACATACGAATCGTGACAGAAAATAATTGAATCCTGATCTAAGATACCCTACATATGTTTTGTAGATTAACCACTACCAATAACCGTTTGTTGTGAGCTTTACCTGATTTGAATATTGTCTTTGAAATACTAATCCCTTTTTCTTTTTTTTAACCAAGATTAAATGAAAAATATTTGTCTCTTTGATGAGAAAAAGGTCAAGCTTTACGAATATCGTGATAACATTTATTTAAGGATATTATACGCAACATGTGTCATTGAATTAATATGTCTATAAATATCTATTTAATTGTTCGGTAATCAATTCAGAAACATTTAAGTAGATTGTCATATCGATATGTTTCGGGATGATTGCATACACCAACTAATTATTGATCAAAGGAGTACGATTTTATCCTTTTTCTTTATCTTTTGATTTAACTGATCATCGCTTGAAAAGTTTTGATGACACGATTGGGCATGATGCATTAGTGATAAAATTATATCCAATAATCTGATATTGAAAAGATATTCAAGGTTAGCGATTAGAGTGAGGTTGAAGGGTCCAGCTTCCACCAAAATTTGAAAAGACTCACGACTTTCTGCCAAAATCTGAAATACTTTCTGCGAAAATTTTTAAAACTTTGCGATAAAAGTTTGCAGAAAACCGGTTTTTAAGATCTATTCGCTCTTTTTCTGACAGAAAGTAAGGGGAAAATCGTTTCTGGCAACAAAAATTTCCCATAAAGTCGATGATTTTGCTAAGCTCTGTTTGATACGTGCCAGAAACTCATCTAAAGGCACTTGCTGATAAAATTTCTGGACTTTCTGCCAAATTTTAGCACCCACCACTTTTGAAAACAATCGGAAACCCTGAACATATTAATGGTGAATACGAGGGCATTTTACGTAGAGTGTACTCAAAGATTGTATGTTTAAATACATCTCACACACCCTCATAATTAGAATCTGTTTGCTGTCGAACGAAGAAAAAAGCAATTATGTTTGTAGTGTTTTATTATTCTTCATTCACAAATCACCTATAGGCACTTCCTGTTGCTTTAATTTGTATGATGAATACGAAGTAATTGATTGCTTATATACGAGCTAGCAGTACTAGTTGAATACAAACACATTTGCAACATATATCTTTTAACTGGTACGCATACTTGAAGATCTTCGTGAGTCAACAGCAGCAAAATGAATAGAATCAAGAATGAAATACTGTATAGTTGCCGAGAAATTTTGAGTTTACCGTAATATTCATAGTATAGCGAGGGTGTTTCTCTGCGAGTAGATTTGATCGTATACGTCCAGTCTGAATCGTCCGACAAAGTCGAAAGCACTGAATAAGATAAGTATGATGAATTCTGAATACTTTGAGGCAATAAAATAACAAGAATTTAGTGGGCCGATTTTAAGTCTTATGCGGACTAGAAAGTTTTCAATTGTTTCGACTTTCGTATAATTTGCATAGTTTTCTTGATTGAAGTTCTGAAATTAAAGTTTAAGTATGATTTTGTAGAGTATTTCGCGACGCATCTTTTAAAGAAACATTTACCTTAAGGACCTAAAGAAACACGACAAGAATGGAAAATATTAAGAGCGCCATGCATTCTGCGCCACCCGTTATTTTTAA